CAAAAAAGAAGTCTCCAGGCTCAGATGGTTTTACTGGAGAATTCTACCAAATGTTTAAGAAAGAATTAACACCAATAATATACAATCTCTTCCAGAAAACAGAACAGGAGGAAACACTTCCCAACTCATTTTATGAGGCCAGTATTACCCTGATACTAAAACCAGACAAAGACAATCCAAAAACAAAAACAAAACTACAAACCAATGTCTCTCATGAATATAGACACAAAAATCTTTAACAAAATAAATAGAATTCGGCAATATATAACTAGAATTATATACCATGACTGAGTGAGGTTTATTCCATGGATGCAAAACTAGTACAATATTTGAAAATCAATCAAAGTAATCCACTATACTATCAAGCTAAATAAAAAAAATCATATATCAATTGATGCAGTAAGAGCATTTGATAAAATTCAACAGTCATTCATGATAAAAAAAAAAAAAACTCCCAGAAAAACAGGAATAGGAGAAAACTTCCTCAAGCTGATATAGCCAATATACTTAGGATGAAAGACTGAATGCTTTTCCAACCCTGAGGTTGGGAAAAAGACAGGATGTTTGCTCTCACCACTCTCATTTGACATAGGTCTGGAAGTTCTAGCCAGTGTGATAAGGCAATAAAAGGAAATAAAAGGCATACAGACTAGAAAGGAAGAAATAAAACTGTTCCTTTTTCTAGATGACATGAGTGTCTACATAGAAAAGCCCAAGAAATCTACAAAAAAAAACCTCCTCCTGTACCTCATAAGTGAGTTTAGCAAGGTCCCAGGATACAAGATAAACACACAAAAATAGGCTGTATTTCTATATACTAACAATGAACAGATGGACACCAAAAATAAAAATACAATACTATTGGGGCCAGCCCGGTGGTGTAGTGGTTAAGTCTGTGCACTCCGCTTCAGCGGCCTGGAGTTTGCAGGTTCGGATCCCCAGCGCAGACCTATGCACCGCTTATCAAGCCATGCTGTGGCAGGCGTCCCACGTATAAAGTAAAGGAAGATGGGCATGGATATTAGCCCAGGGCCAATCTTCCTCAGCAAAAAGAAGAGGATTGGCAACAGATGGTAGCTCAGGGATAATCTTCCTCACCAAAAAAAAAAAAAGTACTGCTAAAAAAATGAAATACTTAGGTGTAAATCTAACAAAACATGTACAGGACTGATACGCCAAAAACCATACAATGGTGATGAAAGAAACTAAAGAAGATCTAAATAAATGGAGAGATGTTAATGGATTGGAAGACTCAACATAGTAAGATATCAATTCTCCCCAAATTGATAGGCAGGTTTAACACAATTCCTATCAAAATCATAACAATATTTTTTTGTAAATGTAAATAAGATTATTGTAAAATTTACATGTAAAGGCAAAGGAATTAGAATAGCTAAAATAATTCTGCAAAGAAAAATAAAGTGGGAGTAATCAGTCTGACCAGTTTTAAGTATCCAATTTACCATATAGCTACAGTAATTAAGACTGTGTGGCATTGGCAGAAGGATGGACACATAGATCAATGGAACAGAACAAAGAACCCAGAAATAGATCCACATAAATATGCCCAACTGGTTTTTGATAAAGGTGAATATGCAATTCAATGGAAGAAAGGTAACCTTTTTAACAAATGGTGCTAGAGCAATTGGATATCCATGAGCAAAAAGTTAATCTTTTGTGTTTTTTGGTATTAAAAATATTTTATTGATATTTTCACTGGTTTGCATTTATTTAGCAAAAAGTTAATCTTGATCTAAGTGGCACATCTTATACAGAAATTACCTCAAAATGTATCATAGATTTAAACGTAAAACCTAAAACTATAAAACTTTTCAAAAAAAGCATGACAGAAAATCTTTGGGACCTAGGCTAGGCAAAGAGTTCTTAGATTTGACAACAAAAGCATGATCCATGAAAGGAAACACTGATACACTGCACTTCACCAAAATTAAAAACTTTTGCTCTTTGAAAGACCCTGTTAGGAAGATGAAAAGACAGGCTACCGACAGGGAGAAAATATTTGCAACAAAGGACTAGTAGCTAGAATATATAAGGAACATTTAAAACTCAACAATTAAAAAGCAAACAATCCAATTAGAACATAGGCAAAAGACAGGAATAGATATTTTGCTGAAGAAGATATACAGATGGCAAATAAGCACATGATGAAGAGATGTTCAACATCACTAGCCATTAGGGAAATGCAAATCACAACTGCAATGATATGCCATTACACATCTATCAGAACAGCTAAAACAAAAAATGGTGATATCGTGAAATGCTAGTGAGGATGTGGAGAAACTGGATCATTCATACATTGCTGGTGGGAATGTAAAATGGTCCAGCCACTCTGGAAAACAGTTTGGCAGCGTCTTAAAAAACTACAAATGCAACTACCATATGACCCAGCAGTTGCACTTCTGGGCATTTAATCCAGAAAAATGAAGATTTATATTCATACAAAAATCTGTACATGAATATTTATAGCATCTTTATTTGTAATAGTCAAAAAGTAGAAACAATCCAGATGTCCTTCAAAAGGTAAATGGTTACACAGTGGTGCATCCATACCATGGAATACTACTCAATAATAAAAAGGAATGAACTACTAAACAACCTGGATGAATCTCCAGAGAATTACACTGAGTCAAAAAGCCAATCTGAAAAGTTGCTTACTGTATGATTCCATTTATATAGCATTTGTGAAAAGACAAAATTACAGAAATGGAGAACAGATTAGTGGTTGCCAGAGGTTAAGGAGGGGGTGAAGGTAGAAAGCAGATGTGGCTTTAAAGGGCAACATGAGGGATCCTGGTGGTGATGGAAACGTTCTGTATCTAGATGGTAAGTATCAAAGTCAGTATCATGGTTGTGATATTGCAGTACAGTTTCCCAAGACGTTACCATGGAGAATGGGTAAAGGGTACATGGAATCTCTCTGTATTATTTCTTACAATTCCATGTGAATCTACAATTACCTCAGAATAAAAAGTTTAGTTAGCAAAAACATCAGTTTAAAAATCTCAGGATATAAAAGGTAATTACTGTGTATTATAAAAAGCAGATATAAGTATACCAGTTTCAAAAAAAAGTGAAATTAATTTTAGGTACCATTGAGTTAAACTTTGGTTATGAATTGAGGAATTGAAGAGAAAGAAATGGGTTTTCATTCACAAATCCCAATTCAATTTCCAGGAGAAAAAAATATAAGGATATAGACAAATCTATACATCTGAAAAAAACCTCAGCTCTAAAAATTTTAATTTTAGAAGATTCCAAAAGAAATGCACTCCTTGGGGCCGGCCCCGTGGCTTAGTGGTTAAGTGCGTGCGCTCCACTACCGGCGGCCCGGGATTCGGATCCCGGGTGCGCACCAACGCACCGCTTGTCTGGCCATGCTGAGGCAGCGTCCCACATAGAGCACCTAGAATGATGTGCGACTATGACATACAACTATCTACTGGGGCTTTGGGGAGAAAAAGGGGAAAAAAAAAAAAAAGGAGGAGGATTGGCAAGAGATGTTAGCTCAGGGCTGGTCTTCCTCAGCAAAAAGAGGAGGATTGGCATGGATGTTAGCTCAAGGCTGATGTTCCTCACAAAAAAAAAAAAAAAAAAAAGAAATGCACTCCTTTATAAATGGTCTTTAAAACGTTATCTGGACTCCTCAAAGAGAATACAGCATTTTTAATCAAAGTGCTTCCCTCACAGAATAGCTTATTCCACAAGGGTGAGTCACAGTTGCAATTAAGGGGGAGACAGATAGCGACGGAGGAGTTGAAGGCATTTGCGGTAGAAGAAATGAAGATGGAGGAACTACTGGGACAGCATGGCCTAAGAGACAGTACACAGGACTTTGGACCAGGTCTCCAACATCGACTTCCTCATCCTGCATTCAAATCCTAGTTCTATCTCCTTTTATTGAACTTCAAGTAAATCATATAATCTCTGTGTCACAATTTCCTCCTCCTCAAAAGCAGAGATAATATTTTTTACTTCCCATCAAACAGGATATTTGCAAGGATAAATATTGGTATAGCACGGAAATGTTTGAAAAAAAGGTTCCAAGAAATAGTATCGTAAATGTGGTTCATTTAAAACATTTAACTTGTCTATTTTATATGAGGAAATATGCATAATGAAAGATAATGATTTTGAAGGAGACTGGGGAAAGAGAAAGACAAAATGAATGAGATTTAAACAAAGTCAACATTCTAGTTTATTTTCTCAGTTGTCTTGAGGTTACTGGTGGAAAATTCAGTATTGCTAAAGACATGCGGTATCCCAATCCACTAGCAAAGCCATCTTAATAGGATGGATTTTCCACAGCAGACTTTAAAAGGTTGAAAAAAACTAAACAAATAAACAAGCAAAATCCCACAGGACTGCAAATCCACTAGGGGCCTGGGGAGTGGTCTTTATCATGACACTGAAAAATGTTAAGAGCATGGAAATAAGCAGTAATGCACTCTTAAATGTCATTTTACCTGAATTGCAGCACTATCTTAATCTTGTCTGGTATTTTAGTTACTCACTCAACCCTGTCTGCCTCCACTCGAATCTAAGCTCTTTGACAGCAAAAATCATGATTCACACTCATCTTTGTATGTCCCATAGTCCACAACTTTGCATGTTGTTGGCACTGTGCAAATACTGAAATGAACAAACGTATACAAGTACAATCTATTACTCCCAGTTTAAAGGGATATACTTAAGGTGTTCCAAGATAGAGGTTGACCTCCTGATATCTATTTAGCCTCAGTCCTGCAACTTACTGAACAATGTTTTCATCAATTTCTCAATAAGCTAAATTATGTGAATGGAAATTTTTACTGATACTCTGAAAAACAGCTTTCAAAAATAAGTCCTGAGACCAGAAAGACATGAGGTAAGACAGTGAGAAACTTTAGCTGTGAATTATACCAGGCACGACAGGCTGCTTCTTGTCAATAATTAGCTATTGGATTAAAAAAAAAAGTTTTAATTTTCTAATCTTTACTCACCAGTGTCCAGTCTTGACTTGACATGCTGATACTTTGGGTTTTGTGGTATCCTTCTGGTCAGATACTAAAAAATAAGAAAACTCACAATTAATTGGTTAATGTAAGGATAAGGGTAGCAAAGTTGGGAAGGAGTCAGACACTTAAGAAATAGAACAAATGCTATAATTTCACCAAATTTAAAGATAGAATAAGCTCTAGAGGTCCAATCATCCCTTTAAAATACGAATCTTCTCTACAGCATGTCCATAGGTGAAAAGTTATCTTGTCTGTCAAATCATTTCCATATTTTGTCAAAATAATCTCACAGCACTATGTAATTAGCAAAAAAGCTCTTAAAAATTATTTCTGATGTTGAGCCAAAATTGGTCTCTCTTGAATTTCCATCCAGCCTATGTTGCAACCCAGAATAAGCCACCCCACCCTGCCTCAAGAAATCCGTTAAGATAACTAATGGCAGCTCTCTTGCCCTTCTTTTTAATTTTACTCTTTGTATGATGGTTTCTAGGCCATCTCCTCTGAACACTCTCTAGATTTTACCTACATCTCCCTTAAAAAGTGGCATGCGGATCCAGACTTGAGCATAGTGCCCAGATGTTGCCAGGCCAGGACCCAGTTTGGCAGGCCTCTCTCACTGCTGGCTTGGAGTCCCAGGCTCCACAGATGTCATTACGATGGCATCTGCTCTCGGGGCAGCTGGGGCACATCATGGGCTCAGGGCAAGCTTGTGGTCAGCAAAAATGCCTATGTCAGGTCTCCCTTGTCCTGTACTCTGGGAGTGAACTCCAAATCCAAGCACAAGACATTTACCCATATTATTCAAAAGCCATTAAGTAAGAGAAGGCTAATGAATAAAGACATTCCAAAACACAGTTTTCTTGCTCAGGCTTCTTTCTGGCCGACAAGTATGAACATCCTATGTTCAGTAACAGGTAGCTGTGGAATATGAAATTAAAACTGGGTAATACCTTTCCAGCTTCATCCTCTGCCACTCTCCCACATGTTCCCAAGTTGAAGTTGCCTGAATGTTCCCCAAATATGCCACATTCATTCAGGTCTCCAGGCTAAGCAAATGTCTGCCTAGAATGCCTTTCCTCAACTTGTCCTTGGGCAAAACTTTATGTCCTCTATCAAGCTGTCCAAGGTAGAATTAGGCACTTTCTTCTCCCTGGCTCCCAGAGTATCGACACCCTGTACCATTGTTTACACCTCGACCTTCTTTCTTAGTCTAGGATTTCCTGGAAAGCAGGGACAGTAACTTATTCAAATTTGTATTCACCCAGGACCTAGTACATGGTAGGTACGTTTATTGACATTCAATCAATAAATGAATATCTAGAATGAGGACCACATTACAACAACTACCTGGTTCCGCAGAAGAGAACATCAAACTTCAAAACCTATATCACTTGCCCTTGAAAACATAGTTAACTACAGCATGTCCTGTTGGGAGGATTGAAAAATAAATTATTTATATGTAAAAATATCTTTTCGAATGACCCACAAAGCATAAAAACAATATAGGGTATATACTTCAATGTCTTACCCAGTGTCTGTTGGTCAGAGTTTCGGATTTCAGAGACCAGGAAGAATTTTTAAAAACCAGGGGCACCTACAGAGAGTTATCAACTTTTAATTTTTAATTTAAAAAAAAAACGAAGCAAAACCTCATGACTACCATCTGCTATTTTAATACCTGAAGAGTAAGAAAGAAAAAAATCCCAGAATAAAAAGGTCAGTCCTTTAGTGTTATTAAAAAACTCATGATATTGTCTGTGTTTTTTATTTCGCCCCAGGCAAGTAAAACCTTTGTCATGGACGCTGAGCACTGGTCCTCAGGTGTGTGTGTGGAGCTAGTTTATGCTGAGAAAGGTCGGACAGCTCTTTTCTCCGTCCCATCAGGAACTCGCTGTCTATACGAGAAAGTGACTCTAATGCCAATTCCAATTCCTTCCAAGACAAAGATGGAGAAGATTCTTAACTGAGAGAAGGAAAATTTTCAGAGACTGAAAAGGGGGACTTTAGGACAAGTTCCTCAGAGGAAGACACTATCATGGCAAAACAAAACAAAAAAGCAAACCAAAAAAACCAGAGAAAACACGAACCTGATAAATTGAGTCAAGAAAAGCTAATACTAGAATTCAGTTATCTTAGGCTAAGGGATTTTCGTTTTCTTCTTTTCTTTTTTTTGCACTCTGTATTTTTATAATTTCTATATTCTATTTCCTGTTTTTTACTTTTGTTTTGTTTTTCCCACTAGTTTCCTAGCAAAGCTTCTTTTGAAAAATTCCAGGCTAGTCTCTGCTGAACCAACGGGATTTGTCCATACCTAAGCCAACATAGCTAAGAAGTGAGGGTGTCTCTGGGGACCAGGTGTGGTGGCAGCAGAATGACGGGGGGAGAGAGTGTGGACAGCTGCAGTGGCTGAGCCCCTCCCGCCCCCGGTTTTCCCTTACATAGTCTAATGAGAAATCCATATGCCACCGTACAAAAATGTAGGGTTTCTTTCCATTTTCCCATTTTAGTCCAACTTCTCTTTCCTGACTTTCTAGTACCAACCACAGTGTAAAACTATTTCTGCTCCACTCTAAGCAGAACACCATAGATTTTCTGGAACTGCCATACTTTTTTCCTGAAAATTCTTGCTTTGGGGGTAACTGTTTCTTGACCTACTGACCAACTGGCTTTTTTTCAATTACATAAACAGGATGGAATGGTGAAAAGTGAAAGAGCTGAGAAAAGAAGCTGTTTCAAGGAGGACTATTCATTCATTCAACAAAGCCTTATTAAGTAGCAACCATTCAATCAGTCAACATTTACTGGGTGCCTACTAGGAGTATGCCGCTGTGCTGAGGACACAGAGGTAAAAAAAAGCCATAGTCCTTGCCATCCAGCTCTCACTGATGCGGGAAGAAACACAAGCGAATGAACAGATGCCACACTGCATGATGAACAAGTAGAGGGAGGCAGGAGGCGCAACAGGAACATGTAAGATTGGCACCCCACCCAGACTAAGAGTTAAGAACCATTTCCTGAGGGGTGACTTCTGAGCTGAAATCTGAGGGCCGAGGAAGTTAGTCAAGCTAAAGGAGTAGTGGGTGGGGGCTACAGGGTTCCTGGTAACTGGTAGATGTGGACAATAGGGGGCAATACAGGGTCAAATGAGGCTGGAGAGGCAGGCAGGGGCAGAGCATAAAGGGCCTTATACCCATACTAAGAAACCTGGATTTTATCCAGTAGATCACTGGTTATCAAACAGGGGGAATTTGGTTCCCCCCTGCACACCCTGGGAACAATTATCAATGTCTGGAGACATTTTAGTTGTCACAACTGTGTGGTGGGGGGGTACTACTGACATTTAGTGAGTAGAGGCCAGGGATGCTGCTAAACATCCTACAATCATAGGAAAGCCCCCCATGACAAAGAATTAGCTGGCCCAAAATGTCAATAGTGCTGAAGTTGAGAAACCCTAGTGTAGACGATGGGGAGTCACTGAGGAAAGTTTAAGGAGAAGGGATGGGATTATATTTCTGTTTTAGAAAGATTACTCTGGCAGCACTCTGCAGAACTAATAGGATTGTAGTCAAGAATGGAGGCGCAAAGATCAGTTACAAGGTGGTTGTACTAAGAGGCTCTGTGGTCCTGAGAAAGTAGCAGTAGAGATGAGGAGGAAGAGACAATTTCAAGAAATATTTAAGATGTAAAATCAGTATGATTTAACATTGACTGGTGTAACAGGAAGGACGTTGATACCATTCCCCAAAAAAGGGACTTGAGGAATTGTATATTGAAAAACATGATGTGTTCTGTTTGGGGCATGTTGAGTATGAGGTATTTGTGGGTTATCCAAAATGGAGGTGATGACCTGGCTATTTGGGTCTGGAGATCAGGAGAAAGATCTGGGCCAGAAAAAACAAGATTTAGGGGTTGTCAACATATAGGCAGCAGGGGAAGCCATGAGAATGGACAAAATCACTGTTGGAGAGTATGTAAACTGAGAAGAAAAACCCCAATATTGAAGGTCCAATGGTGAAAAGTGCCATGGATGAGATTCACAAGAGGCCAGAAGAAAGTGGGTCATGAAAATTAAAGAAGTGTTCCAGGAAGAAGGGAGTGGTGCCCAGTGATTGATGCTGTCAAAGCAGAGAACAAGAGTTCAAATACAAACAACCAAACAAGAATGCAGGTCAAGTAAGAGAACAATAGAAAAGTGAATTCGGATTGAACAAACCAGGACATTGTTGACCCTGGTGGATGTGGTTATAAATTGACAGGAGCGGAAGCAAAAACAGCAGGTTGAGCATATGGGGGCGGGGGGTGGGGGGTGGGGAGAAGAGGACAGTAGCCAGATGTAGCCTCTCTTTTTGTCTCCAGAGTTGCTAAGGAATAGTTTTTGTTGTGTTTTGTTTTGGAAGAAAGGAGAGATTTGGGGATGTTTACAGGCTAATGGGCAAGATAAGAGAGGTTGAAAATGAGGCAGGAAGGCATGGATATGAGGGAGTGTGAGGATGAGGCTCAGAGCCCAGGAGGAAGGTTCAGCTTTGGATACATATTGAAGATAACGAAATGATAGGTGGTTATGATGAAGTTCATCAGGAGGAGGGAGGAAGTTGAGAAAGTTCATGTTTGTGGTTTATAGGCTCTTTGAGAGCAACCCAAAACACCAAAGACCCTTTGAGAGCTTACATCTCTAGGGAGCGTCAAAAGATAATGCCCTCCCTGTCTACCCTCCTTATCCCAGCTGTTTAACTTCTACTCGGCTTTTGAGACCCAGCACAAACATATCTTCCAGGAAGATTCCTCCTCCGAAGGCCCCAGTCAGAAGGAAATCTCTTCCCTGCCTGGATTCTCACAGCACTTTGTACCATTCACACTCCTCACTTCCTGCACTTGGGATAAGGGCTCTCTCCTGTCGATCTCTGTACCTACAAGGCCTCGTACTCATGTGAGAGCAGTAAGTACTGCCAAGTGGATAAAGATGGCTCTGAGACCTGAGCAATATGCAGTATGCATGCTAGTGCCACATGGGCAGCACAGATATCGAGGGCTATAGGAATGTGAAACAAA